CCTTCTTCTATAGCTAACTGGAAGACCCGACCACTTATTGTTGTGGCTTTCTGAATAGTCATTATAAAATTAGATATTAGAAATTAGATATTATAAAATAAGTGATGGGTAAAGAATAATGAAAAGTCCTAATAAGATTCAGTTTGTGCAAAATATTAAATTCTTTATTATATTTATCACTCATACAGCTAAGTATTTATATGTATAAGAGTACAGAAAATACTTGATATTTGATTATCCCTGTGGCTGAGTTATTTCTTACCTACTTATGATGGTGCATTTTAGATCCAGTTAGAGATTAGCCATTTTGAATGCCGCGTGGTAAGCCGCACTCTCTTAATCACTCTACTGATCTAAGCTTATCTTTTTTATACATATATATAATTGGCGTTTTGTTACCACTGAAGCGATTTTTCGGCCGAGCTCCTCCTCCAATTTGTGGTTTGCGTCTTGATGTTTTTCCAGCAAAAAGAGGGACCTACAGTTTGTACTAAGCCGCCTCCCAACGGTCGACGGAGCCTTTTTTCATGTCCGAAATACATTCGGAGGGTGGACATTCCCTGCCGAGGGGCGACCGCCATTAAAAGATTTAAATTAATTTTCTATAACTTTTGGATGTTGGTCGCCGAGTAGACGTATAATAATAGATTAAAATATCTTCAATTCTGATTGGAAGCGATCCTCAATCAATATTTTCTGATTTGATTTGATTTTCCCAAAGTCTATAACAAAACAAAACAAAATCGTTTTTTTGTTCCCTATGATATTTGTCGCTTATAATATTTGTTAATTTTTTAACCCAAGCCTCTCTTCTTCAAACCTGATATTGCGTTTTTCAACCTCTAAAATGGAAGTTTTTTAACAAAGATAAAACAATTTTTTGATCTCTCAAGTTTTGCACTGGAGCAGAAAACGAACTGCTAATATTTGAAATAAAAAGTGTGTAGATAAATTTGAAAATTGTGTAACCCCATTGGCTGTTGCCTGAGACTGTTTAGTATTTCTTGCCATTTTATAACCACGAAACGTTCAAAAATCACCCAACCCATATTTGAGTTTTTCAACTTTACTTAGTCATTGCAAAGCATTTTTTAAAGGAAGTGACCTAAGTAGGCACAACAATGGTATGATTCACAAAGATTTCGGGTTTAACGGTGAATTAGTCAAGTCTCTGTTGCGATCATAAAGGAAAAATCAAACATATTTCATGAGCAAAGGCGACAACAATAAATTACAAAAAATTACAATCGCAATTGATAAAATGTGTTTTAGCGATTGGAAGTCAAGGTTTGTAAAACTTTTTTTTCGGTACTTTATTTTTGAAGAAAATATTTATTAATTTTGTTATTTAATGGTTTCCTAAATGAAATGAGATTTTATGCACTTAAGCACCAAAAGTATTTTAATACCAAATTAAAGATTTGATTAACAACTCATTAGAGATTATTTTTTTTAAAAAGCAGTACAATATAATTCAGGAAGTAAGGATGTTTGTGTTGCCGATAAGCAGGAGCCCATTTTAAAAGTTAAGACTGGCGGCCGCAGTAGCTGAGTGGGGTATTATAGCATTCGGATAGCCAAAGCTCGAGTCCTAGCCCAATCAACAAATAATTTTGGATGTTGATGTGAAAACTAATTTTTTTAGTTACGCTCGCTGTCGGCAAGAGTGAATTTATGACGTGCAATCAAAGCTCCTCATAAAAATCCATCTTCCGTACAGAGCGAACGCCAAGACCATTGTCTAGTTTCTAGCCTTTACGAGTACAGCATCTTCCGCGTCCACAAGAACTTGTATTGGGTAACTTTTAAATTGTTTTATCTTTTGTCAACATTTACGCGATTGTAGCACAACTTTCATACGTCACTAATGATCTATCCCTGATACCAGATTCCTAATCGGTCATTTACCGGATTTCCGCGCATATCTTTTATGTTTATCAGTTGTTGATCGATAAAGCACTGGGGAGAGTTGCATAGAGATTGCACGAGTGGAAACGATAATGAGATGATAATATGAAACAGATAATGGGAATTGATAATTTTTTCATTAAAAATATATTTTCAACCTTAACATGCTAATAAAGCTAAAAGATAGGTTATCACTTGCTTCGTCGCAAAAAAAAAACAAAAAAAAAAAAAAAAAAAAAAAAAAAAAAAAAAAAACAAAAAAACAATAAAACAAAAAACAATTTAGTTTTAGATCATAAAAATAATAAATCATTAAAACAGTTTTTACTTTGTAATCGTAATAAACTTTATCTAAAACGATTATTATGAAATGTAGTCGCGAAAATAATAATGTTAGCCGTGGCACCTGTTTGCTCAGATGATGAGGGATGGTGAGAGGGAATCGTAATTTTTATACGAATTTACTTTGCTCTCGCAACTGACGCAGGTTTGTGTGAAGTTTTTGGTCTCTTTTTGTAAGAAGTCTTATGGCGAATAAACTCCTCTTTCAGAGAATAAAATAAAGCACTTACTTGGACTATATTTGGGGTCAGTATCCAAAAAACCAATAAAAACTCTTTTGCAAAAATGTTCTGATTACAAAAATAATTTTAAATTTTAATAATTTTGAGTAATATATTTACTTTAAAAGGAAATTGAAAATAATTCATTTTAACATTTTGATGTTCTGCATTTTACACAGTTTCAACATCATTTTGTTTTTTAGCATGAAACTGCCATTTTTCCAAAATTCATTCCACGTAAAAATATTTAGTGTCGAACCACTTCCGAATCGCTCTGTAGATTTATCGCCATAATGAGGAAAAAGCTAATTACAACGCTCAGACTCGACGATTTCCACGGGAGCCTTTCTTGCATTCCGAAATATAAATATATACATACATATTTATATTTACATATCATTACAATTATAGATTTACATACACACACGTACATATGTGTGTGCATACATACGGCATGCTAGTCGGTTGTAATAAAGCATACAATGTATGTATGTACATAGGTTTTTTAATATTTCATCCAAGCAAAATGCACCTTAATAAAACTATTGTGCCAATGAAAAACAAATAAACAAAAAAAGAGAACACACACACAAACACTCATAACTCAATAAAACCCACTTTCTTATCTTATCAAAGAAAACGTTTGTTGATTGCGTAAATATTATTCAATAAATAGAACCCTAAAATATACTTTTAGAGCACAAATACATTTATCATGGTACGAGTATGTGAAGCAGATAAATGAAAACTACTCGTTGCTATTCGTTATTGTGTAAGTATGTTTGGGGAGGAGTTGAAGTGGAACTTTTGGAAAATAAGTTCGCTAGTCCTCACATTATTTTAGAGCCCTCAGCGTAATGTACTTTGTATGTACAAATAAATATATGTATGTACATATAAATATGTGTGCTTGCGATTGGTAAATATTATATTAAATTAAAAAATATGAAATTTTGTCCAATTAAAAAAATTATTCCAAAGTATAACAATATTGTGATGTTTTTGTACTTTATACAATCCAACTAAGCGCTGACAAAACACAGTTATATGATTTTTTATCTTCTGGTATTTTACTTTATTTTTCTTTTATTAATTAACTTTTTTCTAATACATTTTATTTCATATAATTTTAATTTAATTTACTTGTTTTCTTGTTTGTTCCATTAACTTTTTTAATTTCATTTTATTTTATATGATTTTATTTTATTTTGTCTTAGTTTATTCGATTTTATTATATTTTACTTTAATTTGTATCATTTGATTTTGTTCTTTTTAAATTCTTTTTAAATTAATATATATTTCTTTTTCTTATTATATTGAATTAAAATTTTCCAATTAAATTTCTTCAATGAAATTTATCGTTATAAGCATACTGTACTTTATGCGTGTGAAATATATTCTTTGGAACAGTCTGTACAAATTTCCCTAGCAAAGATACAAACCTGCTAAACTACTCCTCGAAAAATTACCGCTTTTGTAGGTACAAGACTGTTTTTCATTTGAAATTTGGGATTTTTATTAATCAGAATTAAAACTGTGAAAAATGTTCATTTACGGACACAAACCACTGTATTTATAACCGTTTCGACTCTCCAAACAGGGTGATATACTGCGGCCTTTGAAAATAAAATGGATTGAGGCTTCGCTAAATGAGCCCTGAGTAAATGGGTATTTACAAAGAACGTATATCAGAGAACGTTGTATTTACGTTCTCTGCGTATATGAAGAACGTGTATAAGAAATTATAACTTAATAGAAAATAAGTTTGATTTCATATTTACATAAAGTAATTAGAATTATAGCTATATTTCTACCCCTTCATATTTTGCTTATTGCGTTCCTCGGTTTAATCGCCGCCAATACCAAAAATTCAAAGCGAATTTAAGTATACGAGTATTTCCTCATCTATTCATATCCAGAGAACGTATTTACGTAATACGTTTACGTAATACGTTCTCTGGTATGAGTCTTGTCGCTTCTTATTTCTTGGTGTCGGCAAATGTTGAATCATATATTTACATATATTATATTGTTGCGAAAATGCGAGGCGAATGTCAGATGAAAGAGAGAAGCCGATAACACAAGAACCTTCCATAGCGAACAATTCGATGCTTCTACGCTTTCGTCTGCGAGCAGCCGACTGCTATATAAAGGCGACACTCAGCTGCAAGTCAAGCAGTGACAAAGCAAATTGGTTGGCGTTAACATCAGTGAAGACGTAAAGTGAACGCGTTGGGAATTACATTTAAGTAGAGGAAATTGTGAAAGTTGATGTTAGTGATTATAAATAGTAAAGTGCAGTATAATTGAATTGTGAATTACTGAGAGAATAAAGGACATTAGATAGAATCTTTATAACGAAAGAAACTGCAAACTAAGTTGGCGAGTTTTTATTTAACAATCCAGAGATCGTACCCGAAGGATCTAGAAAATAATCGAGGTTGATTCAGTAAAATCGTAACAATATTTACGTTCTCTGGTTGAATTGTTCGCATATCGCTTCAGGAAAGCAAAAGAATGAAACAAATATTTAACAAAATATCTAAAAATATTTATTTGTAAACATTTGCACGATAGGAAGGCTTACGAAAATTACGTTAATTTAGATTAAATGAGATTTTATATATTAAAAGAAAGAGTTGAAAAGCAAATTTCACAAAGAAAAAATAAAACTAAACTATTTATAAATATGTATAATTTATAATTTATAAAATATATTTCTTAATGGGACCAAAGTTTTGAATAAAAAAGTTTTCTAAAACAAATCTCAAGGCATAATTTGTAAAATGAACTTACAACTAGAAATTCGTTTAATTGTACAATATTTGTCTTTTTATGGTCTTTTCAATAATGTTTAAAATACATATACACTTTTTAATTAAATAACTTACTATAATTATAGATATATTGTCTTTACCATTGAATATTATTTTAATATATGAGTTTCTTAACTTAGTTATCTAAAAACATAATTGCATATAAATATGTATGCACATTTGTATCCCCATACTCGAATATTGATGATATATATAATATATATATGAAATATATAATATATATTTTTATTCATCAACGTTCAAGAAATATGTACATATGTACATACATACGTATTGTTCCAATTTCAGTTTAATTTCTTTAAAATGGAGTTATGCAGTTTCAACTAGAACAAAAATGTCATTACTCAGTGTCTTATTGCATTTCTTATCTCGTATACTAAAGTATTTTTTATAATATGCAATCTTATACATAAATTGCGGTCTTTGGATAATTAAGATTAAAAAGCTTAAAAGAAATATATGTAAATATATATGTATATATGTATATATTTGAGATAAAAATCATTACTTCCTTTACAAACTCTAAAATATCGTATATGTAACAGCTTACTACTTGAACATGTGCCTATCTACACGCATTATATAAATACATATGCACGCTTTTATGTGTGTGTGTGTGTGTGCGCGTACGTATATAGCACATAATTATGTGAAAGTTCACTCTTTGGTTGCTCTTTGATTCCAATGCCATTGTCATTTCACCCGCCATTTTCCTCTCTTCACGCCCAGCCAACTTCACTCCGTCTTCACCATAGACTCCCGTTGGTATTTTCGTTCGTATTCGTGCATGTCGTATAGGCTTTGTTGGTGTTGCAAGTGCAACGCGATCGCTTGTGCATGCGTGTGATGCTGTTGTTGTTGTTGGTGATGCAATTCCATCATCAATTCATCATCCTCCATGGATGGACTACGGCTCAGCGCCACATCTTGCCCGAGTAAGTGTGTATGCTGATGTTGATGATGTTGTTGTTGTTGTTGTTGATGTTGTTGCAAATGTTCCATTTTAATGGCATCCCCTTGGAGGGGGATCAATTCGCCGAATGTGGAATGCGCAGGCGATATTGAGCCGGCTGGACTATGCGGCTCAATATGGTGCTGCTGTTGCTGCTGCTGCTGCTGCTGCTGTTGTTGTTGCATATAATGTTGGTGGTAGTCCAATGGGCTGCACATATCAGTTATATGCGTCTGCTGTTGTCCATGTTGCAATTGGTGTTGGTGTGCAAATTGTTGGAATAATTGTTGCTGTTGTTGCTGTGGCGTTAGCTGGTGAAGCGGCGCTTGCTGCTGCTGTGGCTGCTGTTGATGGTGATGTTGATGCGTTGGCGTTGTCGGTGTGGTGGGCGTGGTTGGTGTTGGTGGCATCGATACCGAGGTGGAGGGGGATGAGTGTGGTGGCATTAGATGCATAAGTTGCTGTGTCATCAATTGTTGTTGTTGTTGTTGCTGGTGTCGCGGTGAACTTGATGTCTGCTGCGGTTGCTGTTGCTGTTGCTGTTGGAGATTCTGCAATTGCTGCTGATGTGTCTCCAACTGTTTCTGCATAAGCTTCAAAGTGTTATTGTTATTATTAATATGTGCGTTATTGCTGTTGCTATTGTTATTATTGCTGAATGCAGTGTCATTGTTATTATTATTGTTATTGTTATTGTTATTGTTATTCAAATGCCCATTATTTGTGGGTGATGCGGATGAGAAGATTATTGGTGAGTGTATATGAGTTATCGGTGACATTTTTTGATTGTACGTTTGCTGCAATTGTTGCTGCTCATGTTGTTGTTGTTGCTGCTGCTGCTGCTCTTCTAATTGTGTTAGCGGTGATGGTGGCAACAGCGCCATTAGCGGTGACTTGGTGTCGGTTGGTGAGGCGCTACCCTCTTTTGTTGTTGGTGACATCATTGACGCGTCCGCCAAAACATTACTGTTGCCTTGTGGCTCCTGCTTCATTTGCAACAATTGTGCGTTTTGTATTTTTTGCGCTTGTTGTAGTTGTTGCTGTTGCAGGTTATTTTTTAAATGTTTTAGTTCTGAGTTTGGTGCAAATTAATTGAGTTTTTAGTTTGAGTGAGTTGGTTTGATGAAAATTACCACCGAAAGCGAACAGAGTACAGACACACATACACATACAAAACATTGACAGAGCGATGGGCGATGAGGTACGTATATGAAAGAAAGGAAGAAGCAGAGGAGACAAAAACAAAACAATTAATTTCGCATGCTTTAATCAAATAAACCAAATAAAAATACGAATTTCAAAATACATATGGATTAGAACTTGTTTCACACTTACCGTTATTGCTATCCGCCGCAGCATTGTTGGCGTTCGCATTCGCCTTGCTGCTTTTACTCGATTTCTCACTTTTGCTGCCCTTTGCCTTGCGCTTTCGAGTCTGGAAGAGATAGAATACAATTAAACATTTTGGTCGTATTAAAATAAATCAACATAAGAACCGTTATCGTTGACAACAGTGAGCGGTTTTCACAGGACATACGTGTACGAGTATAAACCGCCTAAGTCGCTTCAAGGAGCGAGCGATCGTGGTCAATTGATTTCGTATTCTAAGTTTTGATCTCTATGTTCGATACACCTCTTGGGAAAAAGCTTATTGTGAATATTAAGATTGCTTTATTTTTATTTTTTCAGGAAGAGCACTTGGCCACTTGGCGGATATGGCGGAAGTCGGGCAGATTTGTGGAGGAAACGGATGCAAAAAACTGGCAACGAAATATCAAGACTGCCGATAAATTTGGCATGGTTTGAAAAAACCTCAATAGCTTGGACTTTGTTGGCGAATTGTCGATAGTTTGAGGAGGTTTCGGCAATCTCTCTTTTATATCACGCCAATATGACTTATGACTTCCAGCATTCGCTTTCGAAAAAGTTCATCTGCACACAATGGTAAATGAATTTCAGTAATTTTTAACTATGTTCGTTATTTTGTAGCCTTTTTTTTTATGGCAGGTGAAGTGAATTCCTTTCAAACCGCTCATAACGCAATAGTTGTGCTGCCAAGATTATTCTGCATTGTTAGAAGACTCCATAGTTGTCTAAAATGCTCTGATTTTGATGGTGTTAAATTATTATTTCAACAAAAATTAGGTAAAATCCACATATTTAGTTTTCTTTTGCCGAAAATATTCAATAGATATATGTATGTCTGTATATATAAATAATAACACTTTGGAACCGCCGAAGCTACTTCCGGCCCGGCTTCTACTTTAATTTTTTTGGCATGCGCTTTAGGGGTTTTTCAACAAATGGTCGAGCGTCCCCAAATATTTGTACGAAATTTCACTTCTTAATTGAAAAGTAGACTTAAATATTTCAGTGCGATGTTAAATACAAATTTTAAAGAAATATTTTGCACATAAAAATTATGTATTTGACTGAACTCGATATTCGGTTCCCTTTGTTTTCGTAACAGATCGTAATGTTTGGGTGCTAGAAAAATTTAATTGAATTGCAAACGTACCTGGATGGTGTCCTTTTTCATATTCAGTGGACGCTTCACGCTATGTAATTTGAAGTAGAGTCCACAAGCGTTACAAACGGGCTCACCGCTGGGATTGCGTCGCCAGAGAGAAGTTTGCGTTGTGAGGCAATTTGAACACGAAAGTCCAACGCGACGGGATGCGCTCTAAAAGTGATGAAAATAATTGGAATTTACGTATGTATAAAGACTTGATATAAGATATAATAGAGTATATATGTTTGAAGAAATGTAGAAATACCGTAATTGACATTTTTGCAGAAACTCCTTTTATTTTAAGATTTTAAGCCGTTTTTATTTGAATTTTACATTGGAAGAATATTAAGATTATCATTATTTTCTTTGCGTGTTAAAAGAACGCTTTAATGCCGTTTAGAACTTTTTTGAAAATGTCAGCAATTAGATAAATACGTAATATTATATTTCAACATTTCATCAACAATGTGCATCATATCATTGCATATATTAAACAATTGCAAAATAAATATTTTTTTTCGAAATTGATTGGCTTTCATTAAAAAACTTATGTGCATGATTGGTATGTACAAATGATCGTTTCTGCATTGATATTTGAAAAATAAAGTTTACATGTTTTTGTGTAAAAAGTGTTTTGTTAGTGTCACCTACCATCCGTCGCGAACTTGAACGACTGATCGAATGTTCCTCGGCAGACGCCGTTGCCGGCCGACTCGGCACACTATACGGAAAGCTCTTATAGAAATCCGCGCTTGACTCAGCGGCCACTGCAATAATTATGAATTTGTTATGAGAAGACAAAAATTAGTTTGTTTTTTCTGCATTTATTTTTCATTAACTACAATTTATTTAGTAAAAGCTAAGGAAAGTAAAAAGTTAAATTGGGCAAACGAAGCTAAGCAAAGGCGAACCTCAACTACCAATTCATTTCAATGTACGAGTATATATGTTATGTAAAGCGTGCATTACTATTCTATTTGTTTTGGCTTTTAACAAATTTTTGGCTTTTAATAAACTAAATTAAATGCGTAGTTAAAAGTGATTACTTCAAAAATAAAACATATCTTTCTTCATTTATTCGAAACGGATTTCATCAACAAAGGAAGCGAGAACGTTCACGCAACAACAACTGTACGAGTATATAGACCGATGGTAATGGTGAATGGCGATGAAGGCAAAAGCGGAGGCGGATTTCTATAAGATTTATTTGACATTTTACATAATTACTTTTTAAGTTTGAACAAAAGGGTTTAAGCTATTGTACATAAATGCAGTTATTCTTATAAATTACTTGTGTCACAACATTTTTTGTAGTGTTTAAGTGTTTTATACATGTATGTATGTATGCATGTTTACTTTTTATCAATTTCTATTTAACTTCTTTGCTTTGTTTAATATGTGTAATGACTGAGGGAAGTGCAAAAGTACGTGAATTGGCTTCACATAGTTTTTGTTCATTATTTTTGATTTATGTATTTTTTTCTTTTACCAATCTTCTAGGCTGTTTTATTAAGGGACGATTCATGCCGTTTGTTTTATTATAAAGACCGCACGCATTGCATAAATAATGTCCGGTATTATCACGACGCCACAATGGAGTTGAAACCGCACCACAATTAACACATTCTCGCCCATCGGTGATAAAATCGGCATCGTAAAATGCTTTAATAAATTCATAAACAAATTCAAATCAAAATTTTTTACAAATTGATTAATAGTAACTTATTAAAAGCAATTTTTACATCGCTTATTTTCACATATATATATTCTATATACATATGTATGCATGTATGTATGTACATATGTATGTAGGAATGAAAAATAAAAATAAAATGGAAGGCAAACTTAAGCGTAATGCATTACTGAATACATTAATTACTCTTATCACAGCAAATGTCCTTCTCCTTCCATCTCCCGTATGAAACGAGGGATAAGAAGATTTTCAAAAGATGACTTAATATGATGTATAATGTGTGTAGGAAAAAGATTCTTAATAAATACATTTATTGCATATAATAATAACAATTTTCATTTAACAAAATTTTACTTCAACAAAATTTTCAAATACTTTTTTTTTTTTTTTTTTTGATTTTAAATAAGACATAAAATTAAATACTTTCCCAAGAAAATTAATATTTATTTTGTAGATAAATTGTTTACACAAATATTTTAGTTGTGTTGAACAAATAAAAGTTATTTTTTTCTTTTCAAAATAATTTTATTTTTTTTTTACTCCTACGAAATTTCCATTTCTGTTTGCATTCAAAACTGATTACTTTTACCATAAATTTTTGCAAGACTCATGCTTGGAATTGATTGAGATAAAATTCTGAAGTCCTTCAAAAGTGTTTTTTTTTGCAAAAAATTACAAATTATTATGAATAATAATTGAAATTTTAGTTTTAGTTTATTTACTTACTTACTTATTGAGCGTGGTGATGCTCAATACTATTCAAAGTATGTATTACTTGCGTATGTATGGATATACGTGTATGTACATTCGTTTATACTGGAAATCCCACCACATACTCGTATGTAAATTTACTCTGATTCCGCAAATAATTTATTTAAATATTATTATATTGTACATAAGTATATAAGAAAGCAAGATGGTAACGTTTGTTTGAATTTGGTAATGTAACAGTGTCTGCGTACAAGCAAATATGCGTATTTACGCAAAGACTACATTTTCAATTGCTCTGAAAATATTACCCAAAGTAGACTTTCGGAAGATGTAATGAGTAAATAGAAATGCAAAACATACAAATACATATGTATGTGTATGTATTACGTTGTGTATTTATGTATATGTAGGTGCAATGCTATTTGAAACACCGTAAATAGTAAGTATGTAGAAACCGCTTCCAAAAGTATCTTTTTCGTATACTTATGTACATACATATATATTTTCCTAAAACACTATTAAATTTTTTGTCGACAGCGTATATATGTATATGTATGTATATACCTACATTGAAAATTGAAATAATTTTTTTTTTTTTTTTGATTCAAAGCCAGAAATAATTTTGAAAATAATTTTCGATATTGAATTATGATCAAAAAGCACCAAACAACTGAAATTATTATTATTATTATTAGCTATAAAATAACTTAAACGATTGGCTTAGGTATAAATTGATCTAAGAAAACTACTTGAAAATACTACTAAAGGAAATAAACTATTGGGTTGCCCAAAAAGTAATTGCGGATTTTTTAAAAGAAAGTAAATGCATTTTTTATAAAACTTAGAATGAACTTTAATTATATATATAATTGCCATTATTTTCGATAACCTTTTGCCATCTTCCTGGCAAATTTATTATTCCACGCTCATAGAACTTCTGGCCTTTATCTGCAAAAAACTGAACCAAGTGCGATTTTATAGCCTCATCATTGCCGAAAGTTTTACCATTTAAGGAGTTCTGCAAAGATCGAAATAAATGGTAGTCTGATGGTGCAAGGTCAGGGCTATATGGTGGATGCATCAAAAGTTCCCAGCCAAGCTCACTCAGTTTTTGGCGAGTGACCAAAGATGTGTGCGGTCTAGCGTTGTCCTGGTGGAATATGACACCTTTACGATTGACCAATTCTGGTCGCTTCTCCTTGATGGCTGTATTCAATTTGTCCAATTGTTGACAGTAAACATCCGAATTAATCGTTTGGTTCCTTGGAAGCAGCTCAAAATATACGACACCCTTCCAATCCCACCAAACAGACAGCATAACCTTCTTTTGGTGGATATCAGCCTTTGAAGTGGTTTGAGCTGGTTCACCATGCTTGGACCATGATCGTTTTCGACTAACGTTGTTGTAAACAATCCATTTTTCATCTCCAGTTATGATTCGTTTTAAAAACGGATCGAATTCATTGCGTTTAAGGTGCATATCACAAGCGTTGATTCGGTGTGTTAAATGAATTTCTTTCAATACATGTGGTACCCAAATATCAAGCTTTTTCACCAGTCCAAGACTTTTTATGTGATAATGAACGGTTGATTTTGGTATATTTAACTTCTCTCCTATCTCACGCTCAGTTACATGACGATCCAATTCGATTAATGCTTTGATTTGGTCATCATCAACTTCATTTGGCCGACCTGAACGTGGCTCATCTTTAAGTGAAAAATCTCCAGAACGGAATTTGCGAAACCAATTTTGACACTGTCTTCCTTTTAAGGCTTCATCACCATACACATCTCGTAACTTTTTAGCAACCTGCTCCGCGTTTTTTCCTTTACGGAAATAATAAAGTAAAATATGACGAAAATGCTCCTTTGTGGGCTCCATATTAAAATTGACGCCAAACAAACAAATATAAACAAAATTTCGCGCACTTTTTTTTCTGAAGCAAGCTATATGTAACAGCTGATAACTGACAGAAGAAAGAATGCAATTAAAGAGTCACAAGCCATTGAAAAAATGTGTCAACGCCGACTATATGAAAAATCCGCAATTACTTTTTGGGCAACCCAATAATTAAATGTATAAATTTAAACCAAAAAAAACTTATTTGCATATAGAAATTACTGAGTTGACTTAAGCTGTATTGTCACAAATCAAATTATTTGCAACTCTACTCTACTTTTGTTAGTTCCGCATTCATTCTAAACTACCATTGAATTTATCCTTGAGGCGACTACTTACTTGCTGTCAGCGATGCAGATGCACTTAAATGTGCCGCAGCAGCTGCCAAATTTGCCGACGCAGAGCCGTCCACACCGACGCCGACGACCCCAACACCAGGAGCCGAACGCCCATTACAACTGCGTATGACATTCGTGTTGCCAACTATTCCGGCCGCACTGGTCACGACCGAAGTGGGCGCGTAGCCAATTGCTTCATAATGACCCGGCCATGAATCGTTCTGCGGTGAGAAAAACGTAAATGGTTGGCAAATAATAAAATATTTTTTCAAATACACAATCGAATAGATTACACAAAGAATAACAGCAACAAAGTGATTTATTAGTTGGAATACAACAACCACTAAATAACATAATACATAAGCATGTATATACATACGAGGTGTGACAATAAAGTAATGAGATTGATTATATTGGCGCTATTGTAGTAACCATGATTTGAAACTCCCGGCATCTGTATCCACTCCATTGATATACATATTTGCCATCGCTCTTACTTGTTTAGTTCATCTGCTGTGGCGAACCAGCTGAATTTCTTCCACCGGGACAAATCGTAAGTCACGTCTACCATCGCCAAGTTCTGGAAAGATTGCGAGAACGAGTCGACGGTGTGCGCCCAGACATCGCTCCCACACCGCCTTTAGCCTTATTCGCCCGATACGTCACCCTGTGAGTTTTTCCCTAGACCAAAATCAGTGATCAAAGGAACCCATTTTGAGTCGATTGAGGACATCCAGGCGGCGGTGTTTCGAACCATGGAAAACGCCCTGGAATCGTTGTTTAGCTGCCTAGGGACTACTTTGAAGGGATTGGCAGAGTAGTAGAATAATTTTGAAATATACGGTATAATTTTGAATTTACGGTCTCATTACGTTATTTGCACACCTCGTATGTACACATACAAATGTATGAAAACAAATATAATACTCACAGTGCGATAATTTACCAACGATGTGTAACGGTCGGCGCCGCCGCCAGCGCTGCTCACATTCGCCACGCCGCCAACTGCGCCACCCGCACCCCCAACATAACTGGAAATGCGTTGAAATGCAGGCAGTCGCCCACTACTCGCAGCGATAGTATTGTTGTTTGGTCCTCCGCTGCCAGCACCACCATTGCTACTGTTGTTACTCTTTGGGGAACCGTAGTCGTCGTTGCTGATGGAATTTGAACCGGAACCGTTGGCTGTTGCCACGCCAGTTGTATGCGCCCCAGGAGTGGATGCGGCCGAATGCGGTGCCTGATGGGTCGGTGAGGCGGAGGGCACGGCGGCGACAACGCTGTTAGGCTGCATACCATACTGTTGCAGTGAACTGGGATAAACTGAGCTGCAGAATGTACACGAAAACACATCAACGGCAATTGATCGTCGACAACACAGTCAAGTGTGGTGGTTAACATTCAAAGTAGAGACAGAAACAAAGGAAATACTTGATCAGTAATGACATCAAATACAAATCAATACAGACACTGCACTATTATATATAATTTTTTAAATATTGACGCAAGTCTTACACACACATATTGTATCAAATATAATAGATGACCAATAAATACCTTAGACTACATAAAAATAAGAGAAAATTGTTTTTAATATTTACCCATAACAATAGCTCTTAAAATACATGTTATTGTAGTTTGTAAAGAACATTTTCAATTTCACTTCGATTTCGTAATGATTGAACGCACTTAAGAAAACATTTCTTTGAATATACTGTTCGGGAAATTTTATATATGTTTTCTTCAATCGCGCAGTTTTAATTTTATTTACAATTTATTTGTATGAAATTCGAAAAATCCCTATTTTAGCTGACCTGGAATTTCAAGCCTCATGTGTTATTGTATTTTAGTTAATACAAAATTTTTATTTTGATATTGTATAAATTATCTCGCAAATTTTACTTTCTTTGGCTGAAATAATTATTTTTTTTTAACTTTTACATATGTACGCTTATGGGATATGCATAAATTTCGATTCAATTGAGGAAAATGCAACTCGCTGCGGCATACGTAAATTGTTTATATGTTTATGATTTCGCAAGTCCAGCATCTAAATATGACACTGAATTGTGATTGCGGCCACCCACAGACAAGTACAATTTCAAGGGAGTAAACACTTGAGAAACATCACGAGACCATTGCCAAGTGTAAGGAAAAAATTATAAACACTCAGAGCATTGCACGAATATGTGGACGAATTTCAAGTTCACTCAAAAAGTTAATTGAATTTACACAAATTCAGTCAAGATTGATTTCGGCCGAGATCTTCTTTTAATTTTTTTTTTGCATTTATTATGTTTTTTGAGGGATCTATAGTACAGTATATGCCGTCTTCGAATGGCTGATGGATCTTTATGAGGATCTTTTAAATTCGTGTCAGAAATATACCATTTTTTAGCCAGCGAAAATTAACAATTTTCTGTATTCTGGCCAAGATTCAAACCCATGACCTCTATGTATGGTAGCACACACTGCTTCTCAGACGGTTGCAGCGGCCGCCTGCATATATATCTAAGAACGTACACATGTAAGAAAAAACATACATATTTACGTACTCTATACGAGCAATGCAATGTTTGGAATAATTCAAAGGCACATACATACATACATATGTATGTAGGACGCTTGAAGAATATGAACGATCTTTCTTCAATTTTTTGCCACATATGATCGTCAGTTAAGGCTCAGTAGCTCAATGAATATTGTTGTTTTGTTTACACAAGTACTTGCGGTCATCATCTCATTTTGAATGAAAAGACTGGTAGTCAAATTCAATATTTTTCAAATCACAATCGAAACATATGTACATATGCAATATATATATATATATATAAATATGTGCATATGTAATTATGTTTAATGGAGATCGCTATCCTCAGATCTAGACTATTTAGTCAATTACAAAGAGAACCCGCAATAAGGTTATGCCCACACATAATTCCTTTAAGACGTCAAACGCAATACCAGTTACTTATATCCGGATGTAGGCATGAAATCTATTGATTTTTCGACCTTTCTTATGTTAGGATGAGTATAGGTCCCTTTTTTATTTTAGTGCAGACAACCAAAAATCTCAACCTAACTCAAACTACAAAACTGATTAAAAATACATATATACATGAAACGTAAATCGTTTTCATCTTCTTATGTTACTCGGCACTAAAAAAAAGTTATTTTAGATAGTTTAATTTTATTTTATTATATTTTTTTACTCTCATATTTACATATATCATTTCATTTCATTTAGATTAACTCAATTTAATTTAATTTAGTTTAATTAAATTTTATTTTGTCTTATTTCACCATTTTTCATTTTGTATTATTTTATTTTACTTTCATTCATTTTATTTGATTTTACTTACTTTTATTTTAATTAATTTAATACAATTTTATTTTATGTTATTTTATTTTATTTAATTTTATTTTATTTTATTTTATTTTATTTTATTTTATTTTATTTTATTTTATTTTATTTTATTTTATTTTATTTTATTTTATTTTATTTTATTTTATATCATTTTTTTAACTTTTTTTTTTATTTTATTTTACTTTGTTTTATTTTATAGGAAATTATGCACAGTTCATTAATGATTGCCGATCTTTTCACTTTTGAAAACCAAGTACTTGACGATGTCTTCAATGCTTCATTTCAATATATATTTGGTATATCTTTGTTTCGTCCAATACAAATCGTTTGTTTTATTTAATTTTGAAAGTATCTTGCCTTTCGATGAAACGCGGTATGAAAATTTTGTACGCGCCTCGAGTATTGTCGAAACACGTTTCACTTCAATGGGAAAATTGTTACTACGCTTAACTAAACATCGTAATATAGTTCGAAGTATTAACAATAACAAGCATAAAACGACTTAGCAGAGCATTAAAAATAATAAAAAACAAACCAAAACTATAACAAACAATAAAAAAATAACTGCAAAACGTATTGCAAAAATCAAAAGCGGAACGTCTGCTGCACGGCACGCGTCTTTGCATAATGAAGCTGCAAATACGGAAAAGCAAAAATCTTATACGAATACACTACCCACAAGCAAAACAAAGTACAACAAAAGAGGTAAAATAAAAGTAAACAACATAAACAACAAAAACAACAGAAAAGAAACCAATTGCAACCACACTCAAGTGTCGAAAAATTCTTGGCCACTACAGAATAAAACCATAAACGCAGTCTTGTTTGGCGAACGCGCCAAAATGCTGATTTTCTAAGCATAGCGACACCATCCCCAGCCACAATCGTATTTCCCAATCTAAGCAGTCGACAAAGTGTCACATCGAGTGCATACCAGTGTAGCGGGGTTTCGAGTGATAAGCAGGTGTTAAGCTGGTTCAAAACAACAGTGATCACATATTTGACGCTATTCTCCCGACCGGTGGGGCTTGGCGCTCTACGGCAGTTTGATGGGTGCATTGGCTGATTGGTTGAACGTGCGCTGGAAATTATCTCCACGCTGGTGTGATGTGTGTTTTTGCATATTTCAACTCTTGGCCAAACCACAAAGCACAATTTTCTTGGGCATAAACAATTCTTATATCTCCAGAAGTAGTTATTAGCAAATATGTATGTACATATGTACATATGTATGTCGGTGTATGCCATCGTACGCGCTGTTTCTCACCGACCATTATATAGGAAGTTGTGAAAAGTATTAAAACGCTGTTGTTTTGGTTTTGTTTTGACTATTTTGTTTTCGTTTTGCTGTCGAATTTAAACAATCATAAGCAGCTTCATATGCACAAACACTCTTGTACATACGAGTATGTATATATAATATTTTTATTTTGTAGATCAAATTTTTACGCTGTCCAAAAGCCGTTGTTCATTAAATACAGTTAGTTCACTTTGATTTGAACAAACCAAAATATCCAGAAGAAATTCAAACATTATCTTATATATATACAAGTATGTATAATATTATACATATATACATATATAAAGTATAATTGAAGTTTTGTAAGCGGTGTGGCGATTTTCAGTCGAATACCTTCTTAAATTTTAATGTGTTTTTATTAGTTTGGAATCAGTGATTAGAACGATATAGTTGGGATAGCTTATGGTCAATTCGACAATGTTTTAAGAAAACCTAATTTTTCTATAAGAAAAGTAATTTCTTTTGTTACTGGATTTTCTCAAAAATGTATTTGAAAATATAAAGCTATGGAACCACTTTTCCAACGATACCAAATTTATAAAATTGGGCCAACAACTTTTCGCGTTTTATAACTTTCAAAAATTCTCTTTTTCGCTCTACCGTAATGGTCAGTATTCTGCACTTATGCCATTAATTTATCCTAGCGTATTGATTTTCTTTTCACTCACTTTTTTTGGGGCTAAAGAGTACGAACTGACTGACTATGTCGGATTCGCCGAAGGGTTGTAATGTGCAATTGTAAAATAGTTTGTAGTATGCATGGTTAATGAAAACCGGGTTCGATATGAATAGAAGAAGAGTCGAGCGGGAGCCTTTGAAACGCTAGCTAGCAGTCGGGATGGGGGGGATTCTTGACACTTCAACTTCCACTATTTGCACATAAGCACATAAACGATTATTATAGACTCCCTTGTTTCACAACAAAATAAATAAATAGAATACAACATCTGCTCTAAGATTAAATGGACCAAGGCCAATCATACAAACAAAAGAAAATCCCCTGTATGATCGGGACATACTGTGAAGAAAACTAAAGAACAAAAAAAAACAAAGCTACTCGATCAACTGGTTAGCAGAAGAAATATACAATTATATCTTAAAGGCGTTATTAAGATGTGCGCTTCTTTAACCCACCCTACCTTGACTTTGCGATGCGCGAAAATAGTATGCAAAGTCCCTAATCTTCTACTTAACCATATTCCACCATATCACAGTAAAATTCTTAATTTAAGAATTCATATTTGAAATTTAAAATTTTATTCACATTCTTAATATTATTTACAAAATGGAGATAAAATATAGGAAAATTCAAAGTAGACTACTTCAATAAAACATCTTAAAAATATACATTTTGAGCTTTAGATTACTAGAAAAGAAAACTAATTTATGCAAATGTACTGTTTCAAAATAACACAAAAAACAATAACATGGGTAATGTTAAAGAAAACTAATAAAAAAAAATAACTAGAAATTCAGTACAGGTGAAATTTACTTAAGATGCATGGCAACCATAGGCACTCTCTGTAATTTGCAAATCAGTTGTGCTCTTACATATTTACTCTACCCGCTCCTTCACAGATGAGGTGAGCCGGTGTAGCTAAACTAAAAGATCAGCCGATCGGTGAGCATCCTCTGCTGCGAATAAGCAAGCAGGAGAGTCAATGAATGTAATTACTGTAAGGTAATAAAATTCAATTCTCTCATACAAAAGATTAATACAAAACGTATATGAAAAAAAATTGGTATAATAATTCGTATAAATATTATAGAAGTGCACTTACATTTTCCACTTATGGCATGATGATCGTCGAAGGCCTTCACGAAGATCAGCAATAATGTTGAAGCAGCTAATTAAATGATCATTACAATGTTATGAAATATGTACATATGTATGAGAAACTGCATACCCTGAATGCATTAAGTTGCCATACACGTGTGTTTTCTTTTTTTATAGCATAATTAAATTAGTATTATTATTATTGAAATATTCTTAATCTCTTTACCAAGCTTTAATTATAAAAAAACTTATATTTAAATAATACGTGTACGTTACACATCTACAACACAACTTCATTTAGGTTTACTTTTTACGTTTTAAAGGATAATTCACATATTATAATTTTCTTTGAATTAATACCATTAGTCAAATATTTACTACACGCTCATAAATTTTTGGCATAAATAGCCAATTAATCAAGACGAAAGTTATTTTTCTTATTAATTTAGGCCATACTTCTGCCTTAATCTTCAAAGAGGACAATATTGCAACTGTAGTTGTCCAGAAAGTTGTATTATTGTATTAAATGGAGATCACCAAGTATTTTAACGAGGTGTCTGACCATTTTCACACGTAATAGATGAATTTCTCCGAATCCACGATGAAATGTTGCAACAGTATGGATTCAGATTCGCTGATCGTGGCGAACCAAGTTGAGCGTTCCACGTGGTCCTGGTAAGATGATGGTGTAACTCACTTTTAGACACAAAATAGTCTTCGATCTGTTTTATAAAATGGTGATGTTTCCACTTCAAGAGTTAAATAGAAAAGGCCTCTCGTAATCTTTGCAAAATATTATAATGCTTCTGCTTGACATATAGATAAAATGAACTCAGTTGAGAGATGAACCCCAGTGTTGCATTTTTTTGGGAGTTATCATGAAATTTCTCTGTATTATCAGATCACGATAGTTGGTTAAATTTTAGTAAAAAAATTTTTAAAATGTTCACTACAGGGTTGCCCTTAGGTCCTCATACAAAAAGGTCTTAATTGCGCCAACCGAAACCGACTTTCTGGTTAAAGAAGTAACTATATTTTTGAGCGTCTTAAGGATAAATTTTTACGACGTGTTTTCCGAAAAGATTGAGACGTTTGCTCAGATAAATAACCACGGCAAAGCATCAGACTGAAATCTTTAATATGCCGTTCAGTATTTGGCTCAGTTAGACGGTTGTGGTTTCTGGTTACTGACAACATTATTAATTTTTGTAAAAGTCACTGAAATCGGAACACTGTGAAAAAAGTTCTACAACTGAATTTTATAGATTAATTTATCAACTAGAAGAAACAAAGATAAAAGTTTATATGTGAATTTTAAATACGGCCTAGCCGATTTTGTTCAATATGAGCAAAGGGACTAGAGAGCTTTCAGAACAATTGAAACTTTCACCTACCAAAATCTATGCAAATAGGCATCGAAATACTGGAAACGGAAATTTAAAGGTAAATAGTAGAAAATCTAAATTATAAGTTTTGAAGCTCTAATAGTACTTCATGCATTGCCTAGTGTGCTTTACCATACAAATGTACGAGTATGTATGGGTGTGAAAATAAATTTACAGCAAAACAAAATTGCAAACAACATTTGCCCTGAAACTAAACGGCGAAAACTTTAAACGATTATTCACTATGCAAAACACGTTTCTAATTAAAATTACTCGAAAAAGGAAAATGAAAAAGTCCCAACGAATGTTTCAATATTTAGAGCGACGGACAAAACTGCTTATGCGTGAGACGACCGGAAGGGGGAAATAGTGAAAATAGTAAAAACTTTACAAACTTTGTTACATACTCGTACATGTTGCATATTATCGTTATAGCTCTAATGTTATTCGAATGAAAATGTTAGGACAAATGTAAGTTTGTAAGCTACTCAAGTTCGCACAAATTGTGTGAACTACTGTTCGTCGATGACAAATTCTCGTCAAAAGCTGCGGGTGCTCATTACACAAACCATGAAAAAAAACACGGTTTCACCCACATGCAGACAAATGTGTGCGTGTGTGTATGTATAATCAGACAAATAGGGAAGGTATGTAATTTGGCCTTAGCGGGTGCCTTGTTTTTCATATATGTGTGTATACATACATACATTCAGGCATACATAAATATGTATGTGCCCTCATTTCTACAGCTGCGGTTGAGAAATATGCACCCAGTCGGCAAGCCTTTAAGCTTGTAATAGCCATATGTATGTATGTACACATTTATATATGTATGTACAACTGCAGTCAACCATGATCACATACGTGTATGTGTAAATATGTAAATATGTAAATAAATTAAATGCAAGCCAAGCAAATGTAAATTATCCTTCCTAAGTTAATAAAACCCGTTAAATAAAATATTGCCCATGGATCCTACCAAATTAATATTGCGTTTAACCCTCACTAACCGAAAGTTAGTCACACTTCAACGCTGTGACACGTGCGTTACACTTACAGCTTTCACCTAACTGCACTATTCTATTCTTTGAGAACACATGCATTTTATTGGAAGTTGCTTACCCGCATGTTTCAATTAACTTATTGACTTTTTATAAAAAAAAAAAATTCCTAATTTTTTCTTCCCGTTTAAGAGACATCGCTGCTAATTCCACTGCAGACTTCCATACTTCCCGCAACCGGGCGACCGCGTTTAGAAAAATTTATTGTCTAAAATTTGGGATGTTGGTTCGGAGTAGTACTCGAACCTGGTTCCAACCAATCGGCTTTTGCAGCCGCACTAACAGTATAGTTACAGAAAATATTACTGCAACAATTGTGAATATGTCATTGCCACCTTCCGTTCGGAGCCAGCACTGCCATGCAACGCATTCGCTACGCTAAATCACAAACGCGCAAAACGACGTAACAAATCAATGTTACATACATGGAGAAATAATATGCATACGAATATGTGTATCCAACAGGTGCTTTGCAGAAGGGACGTGGACGTGGCAAGAGCATACGTAGTGGCACAGAAAACACATGAGTTGGCATGTTTGCATTGAAAATGATGCATGTTTTCGCTGCTCAACTTTTATTATTTCTTTTTTCTGCGCATTGTTCTTCACATGCATATTTCCATACTCGTGTTTACACCTCAATCTCATCAGCTTTCCTCCAGCCAACTGCCTTGTTCTTGTTGCGACAATTATTATTATTATTATTATTATTTGTTATTATTTAATAGAAACACGATACACACATGGTAATAATGAAAATGTTTATATGTATGAAGACGACAGACTATATACAACTTACACATACATATACATACATATATCTATGAAGATACAGTTACGTACATATGTATATGCAATAAACTTACATACACATATTTGTAACGCCACCGACTTCATTCCTGAATGAATGAATTAAGCTGAAACATGAAGTTTCACTCTAGGGGAAGATGACGCAGTGGGAGCGAATAAATATATATTATTAAATGTATTTGTACAAAAATTATGCCAACCTTTATATTTAGTACGCAAACCTTTCAATAATTGTATATTTATGTTTTTGTATTACTAAAAATCAATTTCAATTAGTCATTGGCCTTTGAAAAAAAAAGAACTGAAAAGTATGACTGAGTGGAGCAAATGAATTTATGTATAAACATACGTATGTACATATATACTCTTACATATAAACATATGTATGGATCTATGTTAGTGCTTATTTACTTATAAGTTTGTAGGCGAACACAGGTAAATATGATTCGTGTGACATTTACATTGGCACTGACTCGTCATACGTCATGTCATGCAAACAAAAACAGTCGAATTACAAATCGTTGAGCAAAATAAGCAAAAAAGCACGTGCCTGCTGTGCGCAACATAGGAGTGTGTGTACGCTTTTATGTGGAAGCTATATTTTTTAGCTAAGAAATCATGATATAAAGTTCATAGTGCTTAACGTCGACTTACGGTAACAGCGCAGACACACAGCGCAGACACACAAACATACTATTCACTAATTTATCTTCCTCAAAAATTGATTAGTACTATTTTATATAATATACTCTTATGTACATACATGATACATACACGTACGTATGCACTTATATTATATTCGCGTTTCGGATTTTCGCATTTACTGCAATGCAGCTTAAGCTTCTTTTGTACACCTGTTCATTTCGAAGTGTGAGGCTTTAATGATTTCATCAATCACTCGCTGATGTCCGTACATACTCGTACATACACGTGTATATAAAGATTATACTAAAATTCAAGTGATTTTCCGGAAATTCCTATTTTCATAAGTTACATTATTTACATATTTCGCACCAAATGAATATTCTGAACCTTTATTTGTTCTACAAAGTTTGCCTCAGTCAACTGGGCGACTTAGGAAACACACCAAATAATTATTTTTTTTTTTTAACTAATTAGTATGTTAGCTCAGTTAGTTTAAAAATTGGTTTTATTTTTACAGAGCTTAGAGGGTTACTGATGAACAAAAGTGAACCGAAATGCCTTAATACAAAATGGTGCAAGACTTGGATGACGCCCTCTTTTGATTTTGACAAAATGAAAAGAAGATTCAAAACGCTTCCTTTTTATAAGAGATATTTTTTTCAAACGTGTGTTTTATAGAAAGCCAATACTTTTTTCGGTGTAAAAATTCCTACAGTATCAGGCATTTATTGTTGCTATTGATGCTGTGCAGCAGAGTAACAAATGAGTTCATCCGGAATCGCGGGCAACAGTTGGAGCTGTGTACACCCCTGTAGGGAAGACTTTGCGGAAGGATATTAGTTTGTGGGCTTTCAAAATCCAACTCTTGCAAAAGTTAAAGCCGAACGACCATCAAACGCATCACACGTTTGGTGAATGTTACGAGATAGCCACCAATGGCGTTTTCCCCAAGAAAATTTTGTTCAGCGATGAATCTCACTTCGGATTGATTGGGTAAGTAAATACACAAAATTTTCGCATTTGGAGTGATGATAACCTACAAGCCATTTTTCAGAAGCCGTTACATTCTCAGGCAGTAATTGTTTGGTGTGCTCTATCCATATTACTTCAAAAATTAAACCTGCCATGATGCGACAGTCAATACAAACCCTTGTCTTTAGCTTTTTCCTATAATTTTTTATTATATCGTTTTATTTCTATGAGGATCTTTTAATTTCATGACGGAAATAAACTCCGCTTGGTAGTATACACAGCTCGGCCACTCGGCCATTGCAGCCGCTCCGTGAGTTTGTAAGAGAAATAATCGGTATTTTAAGGCCGAACCGTCTTTTTCTTTCGAAGCATGTCAAGTAACCACCGAGTTTCGCTGAGGAAATAATTACTTTCCTTAAGAAAACAGAATATAAATAATTCCAAATAATTGCAGGATATAAGAAAACTACGTTGATCACACATTTCCGACGCTTTAAAAGCGGAATTCAAATCTCAAAATTGAAGCAAATGTTAAGAAATTTCATATCGCCCCTGAACTACTAATGGGTTTTTATTCCCGAATAAAAAAAAATGCATTGCTACTCATTCGAATAGTGCGATTCGCGATGAATTGAAAAACATTTGGATAAGAATCCTGAGCAAACTGAAGAAAGCTAGCTTCGTCGAAGATAGCGAACCACTTCACTACTTAAGTTTTCTAAATCCCTGCTTCTCTTTTAACCTTAGATTTCTAACTTATAAAATTTATTACTAAATCTTGGGTTGCGACTCACCTTGTTAGGACAGGGCTCAACGAGGACGGAAAAAGCGATATAACTGTGGGGTCTGTCGTAAAACTGCCATACATATCCCGAAAGGTAGTCGCATTTGTGAGCTGCGTTAAGCTTGAGATATCTCCGGGTGCAGCAGCGTGTGAAAGTGATGTGGGCGAAGGTGAACCTGCACCTGAGCCAACCGAATTATTGTGATTATGTGTGGCCACATGTAAATGATGCAATTGATTCGGTGTAAGGACTTGTTGTTCCGTGACACCCAACATATGCGCATGATGATAGGGCTCCTTCAGGTCGGGCACTGTGGTCAAAGTACAATAGCTGACGCCCGTATGATGATCCTCTAGGCACTCGTCTTTCAGCGTATCCTGTATAACCTCGTCGATACTGCTGGGTGCAGCGCCGGTGCTTGAGTGATGTTGTAGATGGTCGTGCGGATTGCCGCCATAAGTGGCATACAAACTGAAGTTGTTGCGCATATTGTCGTCGATGAATTGTGTATGATGAGCGTGAGCGTGTGGATTTAAATGGTGTGGCGGCGAGTGCACGTAGGGCGAGCTTGATGTCAGATGCGGGCTGTAGAGCAGGTGTGATGAATGTAAGGTAATTAAGTCGGGTTTGTCGAGCAGATCTTTGGAGTGTTGCGAATGCTGTTGATGATGTTGGTGTTGGTGTTGGTGTTGCTGGTCTAATTGCAGTAATTGTTGTTGATGATGTCGTGTCAAGTCGTAAGCGCAACTATTGTAGGGGGCGAAAAAATGTTGGTGATGTTGTTGTTGTTGCTGCTGCTGGTGGTGATGTTGTTGCTGTAATTCAGTAGCGACGGCCAAATTCAAGTTGGGATCGGTACCGTTGAGTATACTGGATGTGAGATGTAGCAATTGTTGTTGTTGTTGTTGCTGATGTTGATGTTGCAACTCATCAATGTTGTCTTGTGACAATTGATGATTATAGCGGATAAAATGGGATTCAGTTAAATTTTGTTCGCTTTGTAAAATCTGGTGCTCCTGTACTGCGGCACCTGTTGATGCTGCTTCCTCCTCAACTTCTTGCTGTTGTTCGTAGTGTGGCACGTTGGTGTTGGTGATGTTGTTGCTGTTGGTATTGTTATTGTTATTGCTATTGAAATTGGCTATTATCACTGAATTGTTCACACCGCGATAGTTTAATGGCAGCAACTCATTTTGCTGCTGATCTCCAGGTGTTTGTTCTTGTTGTCTTTGTTCTTGCTTATCACTATTTTTGGCATTTTTCACTGCACCTGAGTTTGAATTGTTTTCACTAACACTTATTCTATTATTGTTACTATTACTATTGTTGTTATTGTTGTTGATAACGGATATCTGTGCGACCGGCGGCACTGTAGCCAATGTTGTTAAGGTTTTTGTTTTGGTTGTCGCCGCAGCCGTTGTTATCGCATTTCGACACTTATCAGCGTTTTTGGCATTTTTATCTCGTGACACGAACTGCTGTTGTTGTAATTGCTGTGGATCCGTGTTGTCGACACTATCTCTAAAAGCAACGTCACTATTTTGCTGCTGTTGGCGCTGCCGCTGGTTCCCCGTTTCAGCCACTTCGCTATTCTCTAATTTCACTTCGAAAAATGCATTCGTTGCAATTGCTGTGGGAGTTATTGTTTTTGTTTCAGTTGGTGTTTGCTCTAATGCGATCACTGTAGATTTTTCTTTTAATGCTGTTCGGGCTTCACCGATCGTACGTAAAACCGTTTGGTTTGATGTTTCGTTGACAACTGATACGAGTTGTGGTGTCGCGGACCTTAACGGCGACACGGATACTGACGCTGCCGCTGCCGCTGCCGCCGCCTCTGCTACTGACATGGAAGACGATGACGACAGCGAGGTGGCAGGCAATGTAAGCAACGAAGCCAAATGTGAATGTGTGGATGAAGAGAAAGCCAATGCGGACGAAGACGCGGCTGACAACGACGTTGGTGCAAGCGATTGTTGTTGTTGTTCTGATTGTAAATGTGCTGTTTGCGGGTATGCTAGTGGTTGTGGCGGTGACGATCGGTTGTATGGTTGTGGGATCGCATATTCATATGGCGCTAGTGTTGTTGTTTGGGCTATTGTCGGGGCGATGGTATTCTCTTTAGTTCTCTGCATATTCAGTGTTTGTACTTGTTGCTGTTGTAAGTGGTTAGTCGAACTGGCATTAGACGCCGACAATTGTGTTACTGTAGATTTTAAAGAAGTGAATGTGGTGTCGATGCTTGGTTGCATGGTTTGCATTGGTTGTGGGGAATTGCATTGTTCGCCTTTTGACACACCGCTGCTCCCTGTCACTCCTGTGTCCGAGAGAATTGTGTGGTGGTTAACACCCTTCTCAACTGTGGCAGCTGTTTTTCTCATCACTTGAGCGTGAGTGTCTTCCGCCAATAGCTGATCCTGCTGTTGTAAATACCGCGGTTGTTGTTGTGCTTGCGGACTCCGGCTTTCATTGCTCATATCCAACATGTATGATCCTTTCGCATTGATTTCACTGCCCCCTAGACTATTATCCTGCGTTGAACGCTGGATCTCGTTGAACGTTTGTATTCCTGGCGTGTTTTGAGTATTTTGGCAAGCTATTGAATTTGACATTCTTTGGTTTTCATTCAATAATCTGTTCATGCTACTACCCAATGCATGTGTTGTTGCAGTAGTTAAGTTTTTATTTCCGTTAATTGCATTGGTAAATTTTGTGGCGTTGCATTTTGTAATTTTCATTTTTGCCGCATTCGTTAACAAACTAGGCGTACGTCGGTCCTTTCCAACATCCTTGTTGCCGTCCTTGTGATTGTTAGCGAATTTCGAAGCGCGCATATTGTTTCCGCTTGACACATTGTATGTTGTAGCTACTATTGTGGAGCTTTTGTTGCTACTGCGCGAAGGAAATTTCATTATTTTGTACTATGGGTTATCATTTGAGCGCTTTTTCGTTTTGTTTCTTAAAAATTTTTGGATTTTCAAAAATTATAAATTATCTTTCTTGAATGGAAAACGTCTTTTATCACCCTTGGCACGATTCTATACACTTTTCTTATAAATACATTGAAACGAATTTGGAGTGGAATCACTTTTTTACATTTTGCTGCGCACATTCCGTCTATTCACGCGCCCCGTCTGATGATATATACGGGTTTTTAATCAAACTGATGCTCGAGAAAAACGGCCTCACATTCTAAACGAAAAAGTTTCAAATGAATGTTTTTCCACAAAATAAATAAATAAAGTAATAAATACATGTGTGTATGTATGTACATAAATTCTTATAAAAACGATCGCAGCGAAATACAGAGCGTTAAGCGTCTCAAAAGTCTAAAAACAAAAACAAATAATAAAACAGTACACCCAGCTTCCAACAATACTCACACCAACTCATACCACACCAACAAACAAAAGGCGAAGCAAGCATTCCATATGTCGAATATAAAAGCCGCTTCAATTGTCATGGGAATCAGCATTAACTTGCGAATAAACAAACAAACAAACAGCTTCCCGAAAACACTCACATGAAAATTTAAAAACAAATATATACATACATAAGTCTAACGCCACTGCTCTCCCAACACCATAGGCATCACATAAATATATACCCATGCATACTAAGATTAAATGAAAGGCTAGAGGAAAGCTACTGCTACTTCCATATTAATTATTCCAAACTCTCTCTTTCTCTCTCTTGGTTAAACGCCAAGCTCTGATTGCTCATCCCCCCGACTTCACTACTTGCTGCTTGCGGCTTTTGAAACGACGCAATCCACCACAACTGAACTGCGCTGTGTTGTAGGGCTGAACTCACCACCATTCAGATTTATTGATGGCTACTGTGTCCGTTATTACCCTTCTCTGCTTGTGCCCAGTGATTTTCCAGCTTACAGAGTGTTGTCTCGTTTCAGCAAACGTCAATGGCGAGGTAAGTCGCTTAAACAACGCCCACTTTATAGCGGATATTATTAAAAACCCGTTTAGTGGAGGAGTTTAGCATTAAATGGAAGAGGGGGCAAGTGAAAGCTAAATTATATACATATTAAATACACATGTATATGTATGAATATGCCTATGTTATTCAATACAGTCTGTAGAAACAATTAAATAATAAATTGGTCAAACGAACGGTGTTAGTTTACTTACGTGAAGGTTGGTCGAAAATTGTTCAGAATTTAAACATAATTTATTATTAAAATATTAGTATACGCGCGTACTACCATGCCGAGGGCCATCGGTTTGAGGCCTGCCCAGGCGATCATCAAAAATTATAATTTTAAAATTAATTTGCCTAATTATGGCCACCTTTCAGCAGGGAAGGCATGTACATATGTGCATACATTTGTATTTCTGACGTGAAAATAAGCTTTCGAAGACCCAAATCCTAGATGTAAGAGCCCTTATAATAACAATAACACGAAAACATCATGCTTTATCTACATCTTACCTCACACTCCCCTCAACCGAATCAATTCTTTTAATAACGAACTTTCTCAAAAGAAAAAAAATATCTTTCATAAGATTCAAGCAAAAGGAACTTAAAATGTAAATATGTAAATAAGTATTAAGCTTAAGGCCTAGTAGCTATAGCTCCTGAACAAATAGCTTATAAGCTTTATGTTGTAAGCTATATTTTATATAAATAAATAAAATATCTACATGACCACCTGCACTAAATATTCTCATCCCAATTATTTATATATGATACATATATGTATACATTGTTTGAGTTTTTCACATACATACTTGTACATATGTATACATTTTATGAATTTCACTATATGCACATTCCCTTAGCTAGCTGAAGGTCAAACATGTTAGAACATGAATTTTCATGCACATGTATATACTTACATGCACATACATACATACATACATAGCATTAAGAGCACTGTTTAGTTATGATAGTTGGTATTATAAGATAGCGTACTGCCTAAGGGCAAAAAAGTATAAAAGCGCGATTATAATTTGAAAATTTAATTAGCCACTAAATGGTCAATATGCATACTAGCTGGCGAATATCACCGACAAACGTAGTACACCTAAGGGGTTTTCACCTCACATGCACTGATTGTATATTCGAGGGGGTTTTCACCCAGTCGAACGAAGGTGAGCGGAGGGATTTTCACCTCGCCGTCATTAGGAAATAGAACCTTATAGAATATATGTATGTTTGTTATAACAGAGAAATAGCGAGTTATTATTTTAACTACCCTGGGTAGTTGCTAGAATGCGGTTTTGAATAAACTGCACGTCCACTATGTCCAAAAAGGTGCTATTAGTTTCTATAATCTTGGATATTAGTCTGACCAGAAATCAAACCAGTAATTTTTCGAATGGTAGCGCGTAGTACTAACCACTCTGCCAAGAAACTTAGTAAAATTTTAATAAACTTCGTAGCAGCTGAAAATATAAATATGTCGTCCAGATAGTCAATGGCTTTAACCGAAACCGGCCCTGTGTGCGAATTGTCTTGGTAACACCGACTCTGCCAAAATCCTTTGACTCAGTCAATTATTCAAGCTACTATCGGATATTGAAAATTTCTCATCTCAGCTTAAGCTTAATTTTTTCATCTTGAATCTTCCTCCTCTATAAGACAGCTCTTCATGGATCTCATATATGTATATACTTAATCGCAAGTAAACTGCTACATTTCAACCTTTCCCACTTCTTCACTACACTCACAATCGGCTATCCTTTTCACCAGATGGAAGCAACTCAACAGGCATTTACTTGAGGCTGAATTTCCACCTAGGCATATCTAGAGAGGGAGTACAAGACTGCACAAACTCTAGGGACCTTGAGGGACCCGAATAATACTGGCTAAAATAAGATCGGGATATTGTAGTCAACTTAATTCCTACATATCCTTCATGCAATGAAACCAACTCATCTACTCATCACCCTTTTTTTTGGGTTCGAACCCGTCGAAATACCTCGTGTACAGGGTCTCCTTTAGACCAATCTCGCCGACACTTAATCGGGGTTGGAGGATCGATACAACAACAACAATAAAAACATGAAATTTTTGTTTGACAATTACAAGATTTTTGATGTCAATTTAAAATCATTTGAATAAAAAGCTGTGTGTGGAGGATACTATTTTGCTATCTTCCCAGATAAATGTTACGAAAATATTGCCTCGACAGCTAATGCCAAGGGTCCCTCCTCTTCTTCTATTCTTTCTTACAGCCCAGCCGTATGTTTGCCATTTGTTGTTTACCTTTTCAATATGTTGAGAATTACAAATAAACAACAAACAAATATTAAAAGATCGACATGAAAGCCACAAACACAGGTAAATGTACAATACATACATATGTACATACGCGTATGGAACATTTGAGTTCTCATTCACCATTCGAAAATACTTCGTCACTTCTTTTTCCTTGTCCTTAAGCGACTAATCAGATATTCATATATACGAGTACTTACATATGTATGTGCGTGTGTGGGTTTACATATTCATGAAACATCCTGCACGGCACGTGTTGATAGAATCAACTGGTTGCTGCTCTCGACTGGTATTGTGAAAGGATGATTTCTTAAGTGTTTGTTGTTTTTGTTCTTCGTTTTTGTTTCTGTCAACCTTCAAGGACATGCCAATGAAATATGAAAATATTATTTGTTTGCTATGAAGCCTTCGTTTGTTTACTTGCTTAAATTATGATAGTAAATAATGTTGGCCAAGTAATCGTAGGTAAACATTACATAAATCTAGAATGCGGCAATAATTCCAATAATATGTACATAGGTACATATTCATATATGTAAATATATTTAGTAAATTCATTTTCAAGTGATATAAACTTTTCTTCGTCTAAAAATATGGAATGCATCGAATTGTCAATAGCGCAAAGCATATTATATGATACTATTCAGACTCTTGGCCGGATGCTCTCCAAATGGAAATGGGAAAATAATTAAGCTTATTTTTCTTACAGAAGAAGAAATCACATAGTTCAAAATATTGCCAAGCTAAAATAATGGTGCTGGATGCGTGAGTCTTTTATGGCGATATTTTTGCATAATCGTGAAGGAATTTTTGTCTAGAATCCCTAACGAGTGAATTTAAACTGAAAATAATAATGCAGCTCATCAAGTTATGTAGCTGATTGCAGGTCAATGTTATTGAAGACTCGAGGTTATGGACCACATGGAGGTCTCACCAATCTTACCACTTCAATCAGAAAATTGTGTTGGCAACTCTCATACGAAACATTTCGAAAAATTAAATGACGGAATTCTTTATGCAAAATAATAAGTAATACATAATTGCTTACAAAGATTTTTATGTACACATTTTACATGCATATGCGTGTATATGTATTTGTATTTCAAAAATCAATTCCAGCATCATATGATCTGACAATCAATGCCCAGTAATGGCGTTAATGCCGACATTCATTGAGCCGAGCAAAGCGAAAGCTCTAAAATAGCTTATCAATTTATTTTTAAATTGAATTTGTATAAAAGTGGCAAAGGTTAAACAAATCCAACGTCGTACATATGTACACATGGGTGCTTGTATATGAATATTCGAACGGACACGTGTTGCTGAACATACCAAAAATTTTGTTCAAACAATTGAAATGTATTAAATATATTCCAGGGTATAAAGTTTGAGACTGTCTAACTGTTGCAAAGACTTTCTGGCTGGTGGATAATCTTTGTAGAGCATAATGTGGTCCTTCGATCGAAGAAGATTTACAGGGTGCTCTACTGCAGCTTGAGGGAAAAAGTGTAAAGAATTAAATAAAAAATTATTTATGTTTTTAATAATTTACATTATTGTCGTATTTTCATTCTACGGTTTGAAATGGAAAACTAATTTGAAATGGTCACCTAATGACGATGGAAAGCAACCGAGCACAAACAAACTCTATGAAACTGAGAGCACAATGAAGGACTTTCTTCTCTTGTTTCGAGTATATATGTATGTGTGTGTGTAATTGAATATGAACAATATATGATTTATAAGCCGACTTTATGACTTTCTGCATATTTATTAGAAAATATGGTTTTGCCTAACTTGACCACTTGAAATATTTTCATGGTTTGTTGACGCCACTGAAAAAGATTAACAACTGTCTGGTCTACTCAAGCACACTTTCTGCTTATTTTCATAGATACTGGCAAGTAAGGAGCATCAACTTTTTATGTCTTTCGTCCATGTGGTATTAGTTTATT